CCCCCCCCCCCCCCCCCCCCCCCCCCCCCCTCCTCCCAGGAGTTACGCTCCTGCTGATATTACGCAAGTGTCTGTACAAATGTTATTATAAAATATTTTAGTTACAACTTTCCAGGTGGATAGTTCCGGTTGCAAAACTCGATTCAACATAACATCTAGTTATTTTTAATTTTATCGCTGGTTATTAAGCACGCCTTCTTAGTTTAGCTGCTTCGGTCGTGTTTCTCCTCAGTCCATTCTCACCAGCGATGGGTGGAGATTGTGAAAAATAATTTCATTGATTATATTTTTTGTTGTTGCTATAATGTAATCGTGAAAAAGATTTTCATATTTTATTGTGCAAATATCTCCGAAATGATGAAAATTAGGGCCTACGGTCATGTATACATGCAATGATGTAAAAAAGCATACCGAGGGCGAGGCTGCAGGCAGTACAGTGGCACACTGACACTAAAACTTAAAATAAGTAATCATCGTTGCCATATTGTCAAATCGTGCTGCCTTCATGATGCAGTCTCCATAATTTCTACTAAGTTTAGGGTCTCTGAGTTTTTACCTTGCGAGTTTTTCCAAGAATCTGATGAACGAAGTTTTCTCAATTTAGTTGTTTCTCGGGGATTATGCTGACAACTTGTTTGGTGATGCTTCAGCACGAGTAGCCTTGGCGAAATTCAAAAGTAAGCTTGACGAGATAACGGAGAAGATTAAGAAAAGGAACGAAGGAATGGTAGCTCCGTACACATGGCTCTTGCCTGAGCGTATTCCGAACAGCATTGCTATTTAGCGTGTCATGAACTCGCTTCTCATTGGTTTGACAAGTATATTATTAATCATTTGTTATATTTTTTAATATTTTAATTAACGCACTGTTGTTATATATTGTTTGTAGTAATGAACGAATAAATGAATAAATGAATGAATAAATTATGACTGAATGAATATATAATATGTATGAAAAAATTAAAATGTATATAAACACCACACAAAAAGAAAGTTCCCCCTAAATATATCATCATAAGTTCTAAATAAATTATTACCTGTTAATCAAACCTCGGCACTAATTAGGCTTGTGGTACGTTGCTTAATGCTGTTTGAAGAATGTTAATTTCAAAATTAACAAGAATGACTTTATTGAAATTTCACAACGTACAACAGTAAATTGTTTCATCAATGATTTAATAACCACCACGCTTATCGATAACTTCAAGACATCATCTCCTTAGAAAGAGAACGATGTGGCCTGGGACCTTGCCAAGTACAAACCCAATTGCAATTTTTTGGGACTAGCAAAAGTAATGTCTATCGTCGGTTCGAAGAATACAGCACTCTGGCTGACTTGGCTCAATTGTTGCAAAAGGAATGGATGGCATTCAAAGCATGAATGACACCATTCACAAACAGCATTAAGCAAACTACTATAGGTTTAATTAGTGCTAGGTTTGACTATCAGGTAATCATTTATTTAGGGACCGCTCAATGTTTATTTTAGAGGGAGGTATTGAGGAAAAACTGGAAGGTCTTTAAATTTTTTAAAACCTGTAAGGGGGGCTTTGATAAAATACAGAGAGACGAAAAAAAGGGGCTTTGAAAAGATTTACTAGTTTGAAAAAACATTAGTAGTTTCAAAATTGCGTCACAAAACAACCTAGAAATAACAATGTTTATAGACCTTAAATATTAATATTCATAAATAGAAGCCAATAAATAGTCTCTTTTGTTCACGTAAATTGTCCCATTATTTATTTTTGTTTCTCAAAATAAAGAGCTAGAGTCGGGGGGGGAGGGTGTGTGTTCCAAAATTTATGTTCTTGTTTAGACTGTTGCAGGGGGCTTTGAAAATTCTACTTGTCTTAAGAGCGGGGTAACGAAAAAATATTAGAACTGTAGAGTTTCTCCTCAGTCCCTCCCCTGTAGAATAAATAATGAGCGGTCCCTTAGAACTTGTGATGATATATTTAAGAGGGAACTTTCTTTTTGCGTGGAGTTTATAATATATAGCTTTTGACAGGGGGGTTTCCAGTGGGGATACCCCCCATATTGTAATATTGAAGTTTCGTCGGGCACGTTTAACAATTTTAACGACTCGCTCGTCGGACAAAAATATGTATTTGAGCAAAAAATTTTAAATAATTTATTGAATAAAGTAATAGTTGTAGGGATAATTTTGATAAATTTACGAAAATATTACAGAAAATTTGTACAAATTACCGTACATTAGTTCTAAGTTAGTGAAAAATGGTATGTCCGAAAACATTTTCCTCGACAATGACTTTTAAAATAATATTAAGTTTGCGACTGAAATGTCCGTCGCGCACGACTTCGACCACGCCCTTTTAGTCGGGCAAAACAAGCTCATCCCCCCCAGCCGTAATATTGAAGTTACGGACCTGGCCCTTGACATACGGTAAGATTACGTTGTTGTTGTTGGTATCATTAGCATGCAAATTAGCATTGATGTTATCAGTATGACGGCGTTCTCTCTTGACGTCGTAGGACTTTATAAACTTAAACAGGTAACGGTTATTTCTCAAAGACTCTGAATACATGTTTTTTTCTCTGCGTTTTCTTTTATTTGACAAGGGCATTTTCTCGGCTCTGTCGATGGGAGTATTTAAGACCGACAGTTTGTGTTGTGAGGGATTGTACGTGTGAAACGTAGTGCAGCCATTTGTCTGTTATAGTTGATTTTCTGTATATATCGACTTCTACTTTGCCGTTAGAGCGGATAGCCATGGTATCCAGAAATGGGAGGCGCCGGTTTTCTTCCAGTTCTATGGTGAATTGTAAATATGACTTCTCAAGCTCATTAATAATTCATGAGCAAATACACCAATCAAACACAGGCATTTTGTCACGTGCATGAGTTTGGAAACCCCGGTAAAGATCTAAATTTTGAATCAGTAATTAAGAAGTGAGCAATTACAACATTTCTTAATTACGAAAACGGTCAAAACAATGAAGCGCCTTGTTATTACCACAATTCTTAATTATAAATTAAAAATTGCAACAACACGCAAGCCCCACATCTCTCTTTCGACTAGAAAACACCTAAGCTTCCGACGATGTCCTTAACCCCCCTGTTGTTTTGTGTCCGCACTGGCCATTGTGGTTTTATTGCCAGAACCTGCTAGTTTTTAATACTTGTAATTTATATTGTGGTTGTTTTTACATGTTTATATGGTGTGAAATTTTTATACTTGCCCATCATATAGTGCAGGATTAATATATATAGATAAGAACAAAAGCACGAGACCAGAGAGATTTGAGTAGAGGAGGCCCACCTATGTATTGCACACTGGCAATATATTCCTGTCCTGATGAGCCCTAAAGACTGTCTTTTTTGTTTTACACTGTCCGTGTAATGCCAGACAATTTTAAGGAGACTGCTTACTGCTGCCACTCAGTGGGTTAAATATACTATCTGCCAATGAGCAGCCCCTGAGATATAGTCAGCCCATTATTAAGCAGCAATTTTCTCAAATGAATCCTACATTATTATATTTTACTCAAAGGGAAGAGTCTTGGGGTAGAAAATAGACAATCACTTTGCCATTGTCTGTTCAGAACTACATACACAGTAATCAGTATGATGTGATAATTACATGGCAAGAAAAAAATGTTGCCCACAAGCTGTTAGGATAAGTGAGTCACTATCGTTGCACTAACCAGGTAAATTCAGAATATGCTACGTACAACATTTCTATAATATTGCAAGAGGTAATGCAGATCTGATTGGTCTGTGAGAAAATATGATGATTGCTAATAATTGAATTGCATTCCTGAATATGGAAACATGACACTTAATTTTGAAGCTTGAGATCGTTATGGTTTTGGTAAAAATAGATCATATATTGCACCATAGTGGCAGCACTCTCCCCTTGACAAGTAAAATTGTCTGACATTAGATAGATTAAAATAATACAGTAAGAAATTGCCACTTGAAGGGTTAATATATGTGTATTTATTATATAGTAGAGAGTGAGATACTGAAAAATACACAGTGAGATATTTTCCATATCTTCACTAGTGCATGAAGATATCGATCACATGACTTTTTCCAATTTCACAATTTTTTGCTTGGGACTATATAATAAACAGAACATCACATGGTGGCTTGAAGATATGACTTTTATCTTCTCGTGTTAAAAACAATATTTTACTCACTTGCTGTGCTCGTTCGTAAAATATTGGTTTCACCACTCGAAGATAAAAATCATATGTTCGCACTGCTGTGTAATATCCTCTATATATATATATCTATATATATATATATATATATATATATATATATATATATATATATATATATATATATATATATATATATA